AGGAGCGTGGGGTCCAAGCTGGCAGGGGCTCTATGGAGCTGGGCTAGCTCTTTCCTGTCCCTGCTGGTGCAGCGTAGCCTGGGTCCACAGACCCCTGCCAGCCTGTGTGCTGCTTTGGGCCCCACCAGTGCTGGCCCTGGGACGTTGGTCCCAAGACATTGGGACATTGGTCCCAATATGGTGACCAGGGGGTGGGGCACCTGTCAAGGGGCAGGGCTACCCATGCGACCCTCAACAGCCTGCCAAAACTGGGTAAGTGGCCTTCCGCCCGAAAGAATTGCCTGCCCCTGCTCTACATGCATATAGTTCATAGACTCACTTTATGTAAATGTGAAAGAATTTTACTGACTTTCAAGATTGAGCTCATTTAACAGAATTCATCAGTTTCTAAAATGTAAGTTATACATTCATTCCATGGATCGGTTGCCTCAGTTGTATGTATGATGCATTCTCAATTTTTTTTCATGGTTTTAGCTTTGCAATGACTACTTATACTAAAAGGAATCATCTAGTTAAAACTATGCAAAATCCAGTGTATATAGAAAAAGTAAATTAATAAGCAGAATCATATTCTCTGTCCTGCTGTAAAAATGAGTGATTACATAGGCCCACAGTTTCTGTGTGCTGTTTCAATGTTAAGAATTTTTTATCCAGGCTCTCTAAGTAGACCACTCTTCTAGTGAAATTTGCTAAGCAGTCCATGATACAAGTGGCATATACAAGGTTCTCCCAGCAGTAGTTAAAATCCTGTTAGACACTTCCCTCCCATAGAACATAACTGTAAAGCAGAATTTGCATCAATCTATAAAACTGAAGTTTGTCAGTCTTCTTATAAAAAGAGTATGCATGGAAAGATACTGGTTTCAGTAGTGTTATCTTTTGCCTCAACTCTCCAGCAAAATATTTCATTGAGCCAATGGGGTCATCATTAAGGCTGACAACAGATGCTTTTCTTGACCAAGGACTGATCAGTAGAGGAGTGGCTCAGTCTATTACACATTGCCCTTTTACGATGCATCTTTGCTATTATGTGGCAGTGAGAGCACAACCTGATGGACCTGTCCCCAGAATAAACCACAGTAACTGTACAGACATACAACAAAATGTCCCAGGAAAAATGTTTGTACTTTGTATCTGGGATACTTCAGAGGGACTTGAAGCAGGGCAGGGGCTGCGTAAAATTCTAGGACAAAGGCTTTCTCCCAGGACATAAGTGACATCAGTTCATAGCCTAAAGTAAGGTAGAAGTTCAGTAACCCTTTCCATTTTTGTGGCTATGTGGAATACAACCAGGGAATCAGTGTTTGTGTCCTTGGCACACTCTTCTTCCTGTGACTGTTTTGCCATTGATAAAAATAAGCCCAGGTCTTGAGCAGGTAAAGGATCACTGCAATCAGCTGGATAGCACAGATATTAGCACTTGATTCTTTATTTGAACATAGTAGAAAATGGCCAGAAGGAGCCAGCTGCAACTCCCTAATCCTCAGCTGTGGAGCATCTGTGTAATTTCAAGCAGCTTTGATTTACAGCATTGGCCTAAGTTCCCAATGACCATACCACAGTGAAGAATCAAGCATAGCAGAGATCTGCTTCAAAAGGCTACAGCTTTCTCTGCTTAATGCAGTTCCCACCTGGAAAGTCCCTGAGACGCTTTCTTCTCTTCCCTTGCAAGGGTCTGGCAGGTGGCTAATGCTGGAAGTGGACAGTTCCCTTGCTCAAGGAGAATACTGTATTAGCTGTCTCTGGCTACTTTGATTATACACATTACAAAGTGATTTTAATATTTCTGTCCTGAATCTTCAATCCTAAGGAGGAATGGGAGTGAAAATAAATGGAAATATAGAATATATATTCTATATATGGCCATGTGACATGCCATTATAATTTATGCCCCTATCTCCAACTAAGGGCTAAATGCTATTTCACCTTTATGTGCTTAAATATCACGTGCATATAAGTGAAATTTGACACTTACGTGGCTTTTAGATTCTGATTCTGTCTGTAGCACATACGTGCTGCCTGCTAAAAGTAAATCACCAGTAGTAAAGGCCAGTCCCTCCATCTAAGTCTAGGGCGCTTGCTCAGAGAGCAGGAAACCAAGTTGTAGGCCGTTCTCAACTAGAGAGAGTTTGGTCCTTTATCTCCCAGTTCCCTGCAACATGATCTAATTATGAGACTTTGGGGTAGGCATTGTCCAGAGCACTCTCTAGCTCTCTTTTTGAAGCTGGTCCACAGAGCAGGGGTGAGGAGGAGGAGAGCAAAAGAGAGGGAGGGAAGCTTGCTCAGTTAAACAGGTTCCACTCCATGTGGTAGAGAGCCCTGTATTGTAGCCTTTGTTCCCTACCTCCACTAGGACAGAAACTATTCCAGCTGAAACTATTCCAATGCATAATAAATACTAGGTGTGGAAAAGTCACCCAGAGTTAGGGGCCAGAATGCAGGGCTCCTTCTCTTTTAGGGTAGAACCTACCTCATTGAGCTCCCTTACCTCTAGCTTGTTTTCCTTCTGGCTGACTGGTGGGACAGCTTCAAGAGGAGGAATGCTTTGAGTGCTTTGGGTAGAGCCTAGCTCATGGCCTGGAAATGAGAGCACTTTGCTTGAAAATGAAAAATGTAAATTTTAAACTTGCTCAGGCTAGCCCTTGGGACTCCTGATCCCAAGGCAAGTGCCTTAACTGCTAATAGATTCATAGATTAGAAGGCTGGAAGGGACCTCAGAAGATCATTGTGTCCAGCCCCTGCACCAAGCAGGAAAGACAACTGCAGTCAGGTGATCCCAGCAAGGTCATCATCCAGTCTCCTCTTGAAGCTAAACTAAGCTATCAGACTAAAAGGTGGGAAAACCCATGGTCTCTTTTGGCTTCAAATACTTGCTGGTTGTGTTTTTTCTGTGACTGAAGTTTCAGGACTTACCTGGCAATATGCACATACCGAGGTGATTCTGTTCCATTACAGATTCTGTGAGGCCAAAGCACGGCATTGTAGGCATGCTCAGCACAGGGTAGAATCCAGGTTCTACATAAGTGCTAAAAATTGTACTTATGTGGCTATATATGAATTCAGCATAACTCCACTCACTGCAAGTTACTGTAAATTTATATCTGTGTAAATAAGAATAGAATTGGCCTCATTCATTTTCTGACTGTCAGTGCAGGAGTAAAAATAATCTAATGTGAATTTGCCTCCATGTTTCAGGACACATATTTCCATTAATGTATTGGAAATACCATAAATATATGATAGCACAAAACTCACTGCCCAATAAATAAAAATTAATCATGCCCTGGTAAACTAGGAGTCTGGTGAAAGATTTCCTTTCAGCAATTGAGATGCCAGCATAGAGACTAATACTTTTGCATCTTTTCCCCAACAAAAAATGTATCTAGTGTATTTTATCCTTTCTGTTCTTTTCTAGAAATAATTAAAGTAAATATAGTATTCATATATACACTTCTTAAAAAATACCTGTGGAACATCTCTGCTTATGAGCTTGTTTTTGAATTGTGAGCTGTAAGTTAGACAGTGGAAGTAGGGTGTCTAGCAGAATTCAGTGGTTTTTTGCATAGCATGACTTCTGTCCAATCTGTGTTTAAACATTCCTCAAATAAGGTCAACATTGGTTTAGTTAACTTTGTTAGGTAATTACTTTTCAATGTAAATGTTATCTTCCAGCTATAAATTTACCAGCCACTTCTAATTAGCCACTTACGCTAATTCTTATGATGGATACAGTAATACATGCAGTTAAATTTAAGATTTTTGAAAAAGTATATAGTCTTTGTATTTTTACAGAGTGAATGGAGTATTTCAGGCACTTTAAAATTACGAATGTAGCCATTTTTTCAGGTCAACTTTCAGTCACCCAAGTTCTTGAAATCTTTAAATATAGATGATTTCCAGGTTAGTGCTAAACCATTCCTTTTCCCTATTTGCTGGACTCACATGTTGTAAAGCTCCTTGTCTTCCTTATTGACCAACCCTCAATTTATTATGGCTGTATTTTTAGGTGCTTTACATTTTTATTTAAAACACAGTTCTATGCCTGCCAACTAATAATCCCAATCCTGCTTATTTTTATTACGTGCAATAGTCTCAATAGTTTTCAGTGGCACTATTTGCATGAGTTTGATAAAAAAGATACAGGTTTTTCAAATGTACAGACTTTATTTTACTATATATCTTGGGGGGGGGATTCAATTGTATGTGTACATGTCAAATTAACTTTTAGTATAATTCATGAAATTGTTAGTTTCCTATATTCTGGTATGATACAAGTTGTTAAATGTAACCAGCTTGTTAGCCTCTGAATGTGTACTATATTAACATATTAGAACATTCTGCTTATTTACGACAGAAAAACACATTAGCATACACTCAGAACAATCCCTAATGAAAAATTGCTTAATTTGTAACAGTCTTTTAAAAGTCTAAATCGTGAAAATCTCATTGTTTATATTGCTTATGTAATATGACATTAACCTTTTTAACAAACGTTTTGAAACAAATGTTTTCTTCAGTTCAAGTAACATGTCCATTTCCAGTCGCATGCTTTTATAGTATGCTTTTCTTTTCATAATAACATTTACTGTAAAATTTGCTGTCTTCCCAAGTTAAGTGTACACCAACACAAAAAACACAAAGCTTATGGATGTCATGTTTTTTGACATTTTAGATGAACTCTAATAATGTTATGTTATTTCCCTTAAAGTATGTATCTTGAAAATGTGTTTAATTTAATCACAGTTAAATTAAACATGATAATATGTTTTTAACTATAATTTTAAGAATATGTGTTAAACACTAAAATGTAATCACCATTTGAATAGTGTAGCTTCTTTGCCCCTAAATATAGAGAAAGGAGTATTCATAGCAATCAAAAATGAATTTTGGTCTATGTTGTCTTGTAGTTCTATATCACTGCCATAATGAAAAGCTTTGTATATGATTAATTTTTATTTGCAAACATTTGATGAGGTAGACTCTATTCTATTCTTTTGTAGTTGCAGTGTGTCCTATGATGAGTGCAGACAGACATCAGTTTACACAAATCCACAGAGAAGCTCTTGATGTTTTTGGTAAGTAGCTTACTTGGTGTTTCAGGTAAGTAGAGAATCTAAAGTTATTTACAAACTGTGAATAAAATCCTGGCCCTATTGCAACTGGTTTTAAAACTGTATGAAATTAATATACATTTCAGAAAAATATCTTTGATTAAGGTCAGAACACATTATTTCTATAACTTGTTGTTTAAATTCTATACATGAAGTGTCTTCCTTACTCACTTGCTAAATTAGTCTGCATTTATATTTGCTTCCCAAATATACTGTAGATCTGCAGGATAGTTATTCTCATTAGTTCACATGGTAGGAAAACAGCCACTGCATTCCTAAGAGGTTGCAAGGTCAAATGCTAAGGGAATTTCACACTCCTACTCCTCCATTGAGAAAATATTCAGTTCTTATTTCTGTGATCTAAAGCACTAGGAACTGAAATAGCCTGTGAGTCAGTTTATTAGAAAAACACCACACATGCTAAAAAATCAATATCTTACCCCAGTTTTATAAACTGTATTAAAGAATGAACTAATACAGTATATCACATTTTACAGGTTTTGATCTAGCAGAAAGCTTTTCTCTAAAACAGGCATCATGTGGAGGTGAAAACACCTGTTTTAAACTGGGAAGTACACCTCTTATCAGAGACACTAAGTAAGTAAAATATTACTTTATCCATAAATGTCTTTCTTATTATTTCAAACAAAAAGCAGGTAAATAATAAGGGGCTGAATTACTAAGCACTGCATTTATAGAAAAATACATCTGTTTATCTTTAGGTGTGCTCTCTATTGTCATTTTTGGAGTCCAGGAATACAGACAAACTGATTGAGTTCTCACTGAAGTTAGTAGGCATCGTTCCAGTAATTTCAGGAGATATTGGGTCTGGTCCAGCATTAATTAAAAATAGGTTGAACTGCAAATATAAGATGGGTTTTGCAGTCCCTACTCGGATATAAATTCCACTGAAAAAAGACCATGTTTCTTTGTATGTATCCTCCTTTATTCGTGCTGCATTACGTGATTTTTTTTCGTCATTTTAAACTGATTCTTCTTTCTTCATGCTTCTCTGTCTTTAACTTTTCTGTCTCTCCTTCCAGGAATTGAGCTTAAAATTTGTATTTGCATTTGAATAAGGAGACATTGGGAGCAGCTGGCAAGAGTTATCCTGCCAGCTGCTCCCAATGTCTCCTCCCATAGGTTCATTTCCTGATTCCTCTAAATTTTTGTATTATTTACTTGGCAGATCCTCTTCTCAGATCTGTCCTTCTTAGAAAACAGAATTAAAATTGGGTTCCATAGATATGTAAAAAGTTTATACAGTAGTTACTCTAAGGACCTAGACAAACCTTAGCATTTTTTTGTTCGGTTCTGTAGAACTTTCTGTAAGGATGATGTTAATGGGGGTTTTCAGAAGTTTTCTGTGTTCGTAGAACTCATGATTTTACTGTTACCCAAGTAAGTCTGAGCTGTTTTTTTTCTTTTTCTTTTTCTTTTTCTTTTTAATGTGTATTGTGGTAACATGATGAAAGGCTACTAGTTTACATATTTTCCTGTCATATAATAAATTCTGCTAGTGGGCTTGAAACAAGCAAGATGGTCATCTTTAGCTAATTGGACAATTAATGATAATTAAAATGACATGTCTTAAAGCTACATTTCTTGTACTTTTTGGATAATTTATATATATATTTATAATATCTTTGTGTGTGTGCACGTGTGCGTGTGTATGTATGTGTAATGTAATACACACACACACACACACACAAGCGAATTGCCTATCAAGAATGATGGCGAGGATTGTTGGCAGGGGTGGGGAGGGAGCGAGGCGCTGCAACCACCCTGCACTGCTACCACCTCCAAGGAGCAGGGCTGGGGGGAAGAGGGGTGAGGCCAACAGTGCTGGCTTTGCCCCCCTGCTTCATCCCTTTCATCCCACTGCATCCCTGCCACCCCCTCTGTCCCCCTACACCACCACCCAGCACTGCCACCTCCAAGGAGCAGGGTGGGGGGGCTCCATCCCATCTGTCCCCACCATCATGGCGGCGCTCCGTCCCCACTGTCATTTTCCCTCCTCTGCTCCATGTCCAGCCCTGCGCCACGCCCCCCACTCACTCCATCCTGTTTATCCTCACCATCATGGTGGTGCTCTGTCCTCACTGTCATTCTTGATGTCCAAGTCGCCCTGCACATAGCAGTGGTTGGAGCGATGCCGTGCTGGGAGCCATGCCTCCCAAGAGTGTTACAGACAGACAGACAGACAAACAGACTAAGCCATATATATATATGATAGTTGATGAAGATTATACAAAGAGATAATAATGTTTTAAAATGTATGAAGATTCTCATATAATTATTGTGTTGAGTAATGGAAAGTTCTACTTGGGTTAGGGTTTTTCAGCAGTTAGCAAGATGTTGTCAAGACAGTTGTGGAAAACTTGATGCATAGTAAGAGTACTTTGATTTTTATGGATGTTTATCCTTTTTCGTGCTGCGTTTTATAGTGTTGATACATGATGGATGTGGGGTTCTTGTGGAAAAGTAGAAGGGGAGAGAGTTAAGACAGCAGTAAAATGTATGGCAGGGTGGGGGGTGGGAAAGTGGAATTTACATTTGAAGAGCCAGGGGAGGCTTATATTTTATGTGCATCAAAGGTTGATTTTTCAATCTGAATTTAACATGCATAGACTGGCAGAGGAGTACAGAAGAGAGAAAGAGTTTAAAGACAAACTAAAAACCATGAATAGCTTGGTGAGTTTAGGTTTTTTGGGGGGTTTTTTATCTTGTTATTTTGGGAGCAAATTTTTTTTTTTTGGTCTGCTATATGACTTTTGATCTCTTGAGGTTGGCAATACTTAGTTCTTCTTTTCCCTCTACCAGTGTATGAACATGAACCACTGTGAACATGCTGCTTCTATCACCAGCTGCTCTTTGTGCCTCCCTCCTTGTTCTCTTCCACTTTATTAGAACTAAGTACAGACATTCAAAAAGCCTGAGGTAAAGTTGATCAAACCTGTATGGGTTTCTGTAAGCACCTTAGTTTGTTTGGGAGTGAACAGAATAGAAGTTCACTGTTCAGTGTATGTATGGGGGTGGGGCTGCCTGCACTGGGGGCACTTGAGCATGGGTGGGGATGGGTGGGGATGCAGT